CACCCGGTTGAATATGCATTTATTGATCGCAATGTTTGCGATTCTTTTTCTACGCTCTCGTTGAACTCTTCTGTTACGAGATTCAACTGCAAATTCTGCCAATCAAACACGTACAACGATTCTAAACAATATGTCAGTACCTCCTTCCCCAAGTTTGACCTCACCAGTAAACGCAACTGGGTTCAATTTTCCACCGGCTGGTCCATCACAAATTCCTTTACACGGTCCTCCAAGTCGTGCCAATTCAATGAATTCCGGACAATCACTTTTTATTCCTTCAAAGCGTCGACCTTCGCAATTAACACAACCCTATCCTAAAGGTAAAAAATTCTCCAAAGTCAGGTACAATTAACACAAGCGGTATGCCATAATAACGCGACTAATTACGCATTTTATACTTGATGCCTTTATTTACCGATATAGTAGGAACATCGCAAGGTTCGGAATCACCTACCGAACCGAAGGTGGTCACCATTACCCAAGGCAAAAAATATCAAAAACCATCAAGAATTCAAATGATTGATATATCAACGGGGTCAAAAATTATTAAGGACCAGGAGGAATCAAAGCGGCAGACTCAATTAGGTACGCATATATCCCACCGTTATTTCTTTTGTTAAGTGGCTCTATTTGATTTATCTTTTATACATTTGACTGGAATATTATCAGTGTTGCCAATTTTTGATAATGTGTACATTGCTTTCTGTTGTATGATGTCGGTCAGAGGAACAACAATCGAAGGAAGCACGACGACTTGAAAGAGAAAAAAAGCAGGAAGAAAAACGACGTGAAGAGGAAGAGAAGAGACAACAAAAAGAACAAGAAAAGGCTGAAAGGGCCGAAAAGCAACGGTTAAAAGAAGAAGCTAAAAGAAGAAGAAGTGAAAAGACCGAAAGGAAGACTACTACGAAGGTCAACACCACAACCGAAACTGAAATTACGGACGCACAAGCAAATGCCTATCCAGGTATGTATAATATAAAGTGTTTTAACAAATTATAGGTTAACTAATTTATTTATTTTGTATGTGCAGGGACGCGAAAAAAGAAGAGATTAAACAGTAAGTACCAATTTTTTTTATCCAGATATACAGCGATTATAACTCTGTATTCCATGTACATTATTGAATCTTGTCTATCTAAAGTTACTTCATAATGTACTTGAAAAACAGACGTGATATTACCCGTAGTTATGTAATTGCTATTATTTAGAATGAATTTACTCATCGAACTTTTCATTGGATTGTAGGTGATGAAGTAGTTGAAGAGGAAACCGTCTCTGATGGAGAGATGTCTCATAAAAATCCCCAAACGATCGTTGCATCACCTACTTCTTTATCACCGCCAGCGAATCAATTTACTGATCAGAATATCGATAGCTCAACAACTAACACTAACTTTGTACATGAAACTTTGACCGAAGCAGAGCCATTGAGGCAACCGATGACATCTGACGTTACTCCAGGTAAATTTGCGCAATATTTGATGAATTTAATAATACGAATAATCGTTAAAATTTTCAATTTTATTTATGATCAGTACAACAACCAATGCAATTGCAACCGGCATCTCAGCAGTTTGAAGAACAGCCTAGGCGTAATATGTCTCCTTCAGAAAGACTTCTTTTTGAACGAAATTGCGTTGCAGTATTAACCGAAGCAAATAAAGTTAATGATAATGCCTATTTAAGACAAATAATTATTAACTTTTTAGGCGGTGTTCATGGTAATTATGACTATTTTAGAATCATCAATGTCGCATGACCTTTATAATATGAAGCATTTTTTCTAATTAACATGGTTTATGTCTATTTTGTCCCAAGCAGAGACAAATGAACTCAAAGCTGCTTCTGTTGGTATCCTTAATTCCGACGATCCTGTGCGTCAAATAATTTTGCACGAAGAGACTGCCCGAAACCATGATGGCAAAGCAACCACAGAAACTTTAATCTTTGAAATTAATTTGAACAATGGACAGTGGAGAAAACTCAAGAGAAAGAAAGTAAAGGGTCTCAGAAATCAAACAAACGATGGATCAAGCAGCAAGATGAACGGAAGACAGCAGAATGGTGAAACTTGAAGTGCATAAAAAAAAATTCATTTCAATAGGCTAGAAAGTTATTAAGACATATATTTGTAACTAAACAGTGTAAATTTTGTCCAATATCTACACATAATAATACTGTAAAGCTTGTTAAGAAACTTATGATTAGCTCATTAATGCAATCGTCAATCTTAATGTTTTAACTTTTATCAAGCAAATTGAAATATTATGTTAGCAAAACCGAAAATTATGATTAACGGAATTATGATTGGTAAACAGATTATCATGGCTAAGATGAAATCAATTTATCAGTATAGTTTATCTTTTTTTTTCTTTTATCGAAAGGTTTTTCTATGATAGATTTATTAAACATAAGCTATTATATAAAGAATGAAATCAATACATTTATATTTATAAATCTATAAATTGCGGAAACTCGATATCAATATTATAACAACTATACAAGAGATAACTTGTATTGACAGTTTTTATTAATTTCTCGAAGTAAATTAAGTCAAAAATATTATACATATATGTCGTTTTATATTGAAACTGCTGTATAAAGAAAACATATATATAAATAATAACCGTATAAATGAATCAAAGTTTCTCTTTTCGAGGGGAATCTAATCATCAATAAAAAGAAGTTTATAAACAAATCTTCAATGATACATAACTAATGAACAACACATCTATATTACCAGGATCAAAAGAGCCAAATTTCCTAAGCGGTTGAACATTCGAAGGAATATTAGAGCCAGGCGGTCGGATGGTTGTTCTTAAAACGTCAGATTCCGATAAAGTACCCCCCTTGGTACCTGATATTCCAGACACTAGAGATCCCGTAAGACCTGATCTGGCTACAGACGTTGAGTTAACAACATTCCGAACAGACGGTTCATCACCTCGCCTTTCTATCAATAAATAATGCATTTGCATTCTTAAACTATGACATATATTCTTAAGATTCTGTATTTCCTCTTGTGTTCTCAAGCTTTCTGTCATCAGAGCAACATTCTGTCTTAGCTCTAATTCAGTTAAATTGGCATTTAAAGTTTCGATATCATTTTTAAAATGTTCGTTTTCTGATAGTAGTAACTCGTGCGTTGTTAAAAGAGGTGGCGGTCCTTCAGAAGCCATTACAGTATCCTCTGGATTTAGAAAATGAGATGGAAATATAGATGCCAACCAATCAGATATGCTTGATAACTGATTTTGTAGAGACTTAACCATTTTACTGAGCTCTTGAACTGTTGTTCGAAGTTGTTTGTTGTCTTGCTCAAGAATTTCATTACGTTGTTTGTAGATGGCGAAAAAATCTTTCAAAGGTTCATATGAACAAGATGGGATATGAACTTTCAATAAATCGCGTTGAAGACCAGTCCAGGAGCAACCGTATTCAGTATGAATACACGTGGAAGGTCTCTCAGAACACTCTTCAAGGTGTACATCATTAGCTGACTGAAGAAATAATGTGTGGCAGTGGGGGCACTCGATATACTTGAATGGACAAGAGTCACAATGTCCCTTTTAAAACATTTCAAGCTTTAGCTGTCTAAATAATTAGACAACAAAAAAGTAACACAGTCAAATACAACAATACTTTAATAAATATTATCATCGTTTAGCTTACCTCTAAAGTACCTAACTGAACTTTACATTTACATCTTTCACGGTCGATAACTTTGGCTCTACATTTTTCCATGTGTTTTGGTAAATCTTTTTTAAGTACTGATTCTTCACATTTCTCGTTACAACACTCTATAATGGTGAACATGCATCCTTCTTTCAGGTGACAACTTAATAGTTGACGTTGGCCTTGATAATTACAGCCAAGATCCTTATTTGGACAGTAAACTAACAATTCGTTAACCATATTGGATATTATCTTGGAAGCAGGTTTAAGCTCACAAACATCAGAAAGTCTGGAACGATCAACTGGGCAAGTCGGCCTTGATGTTATGGCTTGATTTATGCATGAACTACAAAATGTGTGTCTAAAATAGAGTATTTGTCAATATATCTTAATATGTACGTTAAGAAAGTCCATTAATTACCCGCATGATTCTATAAACACTGGATCAATGAAGGGAGTCTGACAAATGCAACAAATAAGATTCGAATTGATGGCCTCAACGTAAATCAGAGAACGCAAATCTAACGATTCCATAACAATGCATTATTTTTTCAAATTGATTTTGACAACAGTATTTATAGGATTTTCAAATTTTTATGGTCCTGTTTATCACCTGATTTTTTTAACATAATTCATACTTCTTTGCGATATGACCACTCCTCGGAAACGTCGTAAAACACGTAACCCAACCTTGAAAGTTTCACGAAGAATAGCGAATAAACATTTCAAGAAAACTCGTATCAAAGTATAGAAACAACTTTTGTTTTAATATCAAATTAATTTGAAGCTAATTGTCTAAATTATTTCAGAATGATTCCATTATTGCTGCAAACTGGGACAAAAAAGCCACAATGCGTCAAAAGCATGTATACACATCTATTATAGCCTTTGGTTATTAGAATTTCAATGTATTGAAGGTTGATTTCGACGATTTCATTTGTTATCGCCAGTTATCAACGTATGGGTCTTATGGTATCTTTAAATGGTGTCGCGGGAGGCGTTGAAAAATTATATTGTGATGAGCCTAATCCGTTAAACATTGAAGAGCTGAAGAGGTCTCGAGAACCAGATCGAGGTATGATTGAACGTGACGACCAGGGAAATGTGATCGACGTTATTATCGATAAGGAGAAAGATGAAGAATCTGATACAAAAATTCATCCTACACCCGCGAAGACAGATATTGTAAGAGGTTTGTATGTCGATCCTTATTCTCTTGCTTAGCAAGGAACTGATCAAGCCATAAATTAATCATGTCACAATTTGTAAAAAAGAATTAGAAGCACAAGCTTCAGTTGTATATAAAAGAGAGCAATATCAGTCTGAGGAAGAACGACTATTTGTGGAAAAATTGATTAATAAATATGATGATGATTATGAGTCTATGTTTAGGGATATAAAACTGAATGTATATCAGTATACTGCTGCTCAACTAAAAAAAAAATGTCAAAAATACTTGCTAGATAGCGCGAATAAATCTTGTTCATGATCTATATATTGTATAGATTACAGTATTTTAACCTTTTAAAAAATTTGGTTTAATGTGGAAAATTTAAGAATTAATTGAGGTTTAATAATTTTTTTAATTGTAAATTGGTTTAAAATAATTATATAAATAGGAAATGTAGTATTTATTTTTTTTATTTTGAAGACCTTGTTCTTTTTACTTATAAATACTTGTTTCTATACATTAGGCTCGAAGTATTCGCAAATTGTATTGGACTTAAGAAGATTATCATAGTTTTTTCAAAAAGCATATTTAAGATTGACTCGTCTAATTAAAACTTTTCTTTATCCAGAATTCTTAATCTACTGTGAAATTTTATTTTTAGAATTCTTAGTATCTGGCAACCTTGTTAGAATTTTTATCCTACAATAGATATCCGGTACAGGCAATTGCCTTAACCGGTGAGGCAAACCGCACTTGGGCGCCCATAGAAGAAGCTGAGTAATGTCGGATCTATAACTTAGATAGCTTAGAATGTACTTGTATATTTGCTTTGATCTAATAAAGATACTGGCTAGGTTGCCAATACAGAAAAAAAATATATATATATATATATATATGGGAGTGAGTTAGTAGAAAAGGAACAAATCATTTTTAGTAAAATTTTTTTAATTTTTAAATTAAAATATCTTAACAATTATTTAATCAAATTTGTTAAAAATTTTTTTATTTTAATCTTGAAATTATATAGAATTAAAATAAAAAAAATTCATTAAATTTAATAAAATAGTTAAAATATTTAAGTTTAATAGACAATCCATTTGTCATCTGGAGAGGATCTGTAAATTTTTATAAGTAAATTTTACTATTGAGCCAAATATGAATTTAAAACTTTTATTTTACTAAGTAAATCACTCTTGAGTTTCTAACAAAAGTTGTAGAGCTTATCAATAATAGTAAAAATTTTAAAATTGATCTTGTAATTTTTGAGAAATTTTTAAAAAACATTTTACCAATATATAAAATTTTTTTAAAAAAAATATATATCAGTAAAATGTTTTTTAAAAATTTCTCAAGAATTACCAAGCCAATTTTAATGTTCTTACTACTATTAGATGCATTTTGATGAGCTCTATAATTTTTATTAGAAGCCTAAAAATAATTTATTTAGTAAAAAAGGTTTTAAATTAAAGTATTTCATATTTGGTTCAATTATAAAATTTATTTATAAAATTTGCAGATTCTCTCTAGATAACAAATAAATTATCTATTAAAGTCAAGAAAACTTTACTTAAAAAAAATTTGTTCTTTTTTTACTTTTTTTTTCACTTAGGCTATTTTGCCAGTGATTTTTTATTAAGATTATTTTGTTACAGGTGCAACAAAATATTTAGCTTAATATTTAGGTCTGATATCTTACAGTTATTTCAAGAATACTTATAAGTAATTAGCTGCATCAAGATAATCTTTCTATAAGGGACATCTATGATTGAAGCCACTGTAATCCAAAAAATTTATTTTAAACCACCACTCTACAATAGAATACTATCAATCTGATAATATTTTTTGTAAAGAAATAAAAAAAAATAAAAAAAGTACTAATACTAATACTAATACTAAATAGTAAAGAGAAAAAAGATAAAAACTAATACTAAAAAAAATAATCTAATAGTCACTGTTGTAGACCTGTATCAAGCCTTAAAAAATTACATATTATAAGATAAAGAAGTTTTATATTTAATACTATCTTAATAATATATATATCTAAAAAAAACTCTACAATTAAGGTTTGAAAAAAAGTTAGCTAAACTAGAATAATTTAGACAAAATAGCTCAAGACACAAAATAAAAGTCTCAAAGTATTGTTTAATAGTTTTTTTAGTTCAAAGCATGTAATCTATTTGTGTTGTCATATGATTTATACTCAGTTGCTTATTTCAGATATTTGTCTATTATTCTGTTTTGGTAATCTTATTTACTCACATAAGCAGGTAAACAATACTAACTGTTTTGAAAAATTACATATCAATCTTTTGAAGAAAATAAGCTAAAAAATTTATTTTTTAATAAAATTTTCTTAAAAAAAGTATAGTTGTATAGATATAATCTAAAGTATATAATATTCTTAATATTGATTTAGTTATTCTATATTTTCAAAATATCTTTTTGGTTTAGATACTGAATATAATAGAAAAGTTTATCGACCAAAACTTGATTTCTATCCAGATTTCCTGGATATACTTTATCTACAAAATGGCAAACAGATTTGCACTCCCACACAAACTATCATCTTCAAACTTCCATATCTGTATTAGCATATATGGACAACACTCTATGGATATCTCACTCTAAAGAAGAAATAGAACATATTACCTCTACTGCCAAGTCTTTCTACCAAATGGCCAACCTTCAAGTTAACCCTAACAAATCTGTATTCGCTACAAATTCCAAACCCACTACTATATCATTCATTAACTCAACACTGAAGTCCATACCTACTAATGAACCCTTCAAATATCTTGGTTGTTGGTTTACACTAAATAACAAGCAATCTGAACAAATTAAAC